GTGTTCGACTTTCTTTCACAGGACTGTACCCTCATCAAGGCCAATGACACCTCCAAAACCAAATAATAATGCTGCGAATGACCAGCTCAGAACAAGGTAATGTGATCTGATGATTAGTGCTTTATGGAATAATATAAATAGCCCTGGCCCAGCCTGAAGGAAGCTCTGAAAGAGTTCAGTAGGATGATTAGGGGTTGAAGCCAGGCGAGTTTCAATGACGCTAGTGAAGTTTCCCAGAAGCATTTTATTCTCTTGTGATTTGTGGCCTAAAAATCAGGGGCAAGCTATATTGAGTGCATGTCATAAAACCCCAACTTCTGCTATTTTTAGGCAATGCAACTTTGGGAGAGTTTGCCTAGGCCTTCCCCTGTATGTTGCTCTTCCACTGTAACTCCCCCCCCCCAGTGTTTCTCTCACAACAGATTGGAATCCATGTTGTTTGGCTTTCATCTTAAATTAGACCTTCACCTTGACCCCGATCCTACAAAGACTTCCCACTGGAGCATGTTGCAAAAATGGTCGTTAAACACAGGCGGGACATTGTGTTAGTATTAAGTCTCCCCAGGGGTCATTTCCTGCAGGAGCGCACAGGAGCGGAGCTCTGGCAGTAAAGAGCCCAGGGGGCGGACACAAGCAACAAGCCCCACCCCCTGCTCCCAGCAGTCCTCAGTCAGAGCAAGAAGCAGCCAGGTAAGCTGCAGAGCCCCCACCCCCTGGCCCAAAACAGTCCAGTGGCACCTTTAAGACCAAGTTTTATTCAGGTACAAGCTCTCCCTCCTCTGTGAGGACAGATCTGCACTCCCCCCCCCCCAAATAGCTAGCAGTCCAAAACAGTCCAGTGGAGCCTGAGCAGTGGGTGTTGCCTTCTGACACACTTCCGGTGATGTCAGGGGGTGTGACATATGCAAATCAGTTATGCTAATGAGTTATGCTAATGAGCTCCTGCACCTCTTTCTGCAAAATGACCCCTGGGTCTCCCACCTTGTCTTACACATGAGCCATTCTACAGTCTCTAATGTGGAATGCAGCACAGAATATCTGCCATTCCTCCTCGTGGCAAGGGGACCGGAGATGCTCAGGAGGGAGGTGGGGCTTATAAATATTTTTTTAAAATTAATAAGTACGAATGAGAGTTAGGATGAAGGGCCTCCATGTGAGACAGAAAACATCAAGAAGATTTGTACTCTGAATTAGGGCCAATTCACACATCACAAAATTCTTGTATCCCCCACATAGGGGTGCCAGCCTCCAGGTGGGACCTGGGGATCCCCTGGAACGACAGCTGGTCTCCAGACTACAGAGATCAGTTCCCCTGGAGAAAATGGATGCTTTGGAGAGAGTGGACTCTGCAGCATTGTACCCCACTGAGGTCCCTTGTCCTCCCCAGGCTCCACCCCCAAATATCCAGGAGTTCCCCAACCTGGTTCTGGCCACCCTACCCCCCCACCCGCCACTGGTGCCCGGGGGACCTGGCAACCCTACTCCTGCTAGGACTTTTGATCAGATTTGTACTTGAAGTTCTGTGCCCAGAATTTAATTCCCAGATGCAGGCCTGCCTGGTTCTGATCAGGACTGCAGCATATAGAGTGTGTTCCCCTCTGGACCATTTTCCTGGTCTGAAATGGACCTGAAGAGCCTCTATTTACTTCACCTGGGAAATGTACAACAATGTCAGGCCGCATCTATCAATTCAACATGTGGGAGACGTGAGCGCTTGTGAAGTGTCCCTTGTATGGATCCGTTTCCCTGACCAGGATCACCCAGGCTAGCCCGATCTCATCAGGAAGATAAGCAGGGTTGGCCCTGGTTAGTACTTGGACGGGAGACCACCAAGGAATTCCGGGTTTGCTAGGCAGAGGCAGGCAGTGGCAAACCACTCCTTGATGTCTCTTGCCTCAAAAACCCGACGGGATGGCCACAAGTCAGCCGCAACTTGATTGCTCTTTCCACCGCTGTCCAGCGGTTAATTTCTAAAATCACGTTAATTGGCAAAAGGAAATAAGATTTAAGAAGAAGAGGAGATTGGATTTATACCCCACCCTTCACTTGGAGTCTCAGAGCGGCTTACAGACTCCTTTCCCTTCCCCTCCCCACAGCAGACACCCTGTGAGGTGGGTGGGGCTGAGAGAGCTCTGACACAAACTGCTCTTTTTCAAGGACAGCTCTGACAGAGCTTGTGACTGACCCAAGGTCACATCAGCAGGTACAAGTGGAGGAGTGGGGAATCAAACCCGGTTCTCCCAGATTAGAGTCCGCACACTTAACTACTGCACCAAACTGGCTCTCTCATTGTGTTTAGACATCATAAAAGTAACGATTTTTTAAAAAAAATGGCAAAGATTTCTTTTGCCTCGTTTGGGATCGCCCCCTGGAGTGTTTACCTTTTATATTTAAATCTGCTGCTGAGGTAAATTGGGAGGTGAAGCAGCTACGGTTTCTCCTGTTTCTTGACTTTTTTGCCTGCTGGAACAAGTAGGAAATCTGGGCGTGCCGCAAAAAAACCAGCGAACACGGGAGAGTGGATGACGGGGTTCGAGCAGGAACGGGTGGCCTCATTTCCTCATTTCCCTCTGAGCTGCGGCCTGACAACTCTACCCATAGCCACGTAATTTTGGGGAGATGTGGTTCTTCAGCATCTGTGTACATAGTCTGAGGACTGCTCTAATAAATCCCACAGCATGTACTGGTGCACTTAAGAATAATGAAGGCGCATTCCACCCCACCCCCCCTTCCCAATTTCACTCCTTCACAGACTTGGCACTGTGCGATATTATTTTAGGAAGGAAACATGGTGCGGCTGTCACATTCCCCTCGTCAGATCTGGAGATCTTACGGAATAAAAAATTTCAGTGTGCTAACTGGGAAAGCTACCTGCTTACGTACAAAGGCTTCTTTAAACCCCTTTCCTAATCGCCTCCCTCATTCATTGCATATTCACCCCCCCCCCATGGTTCTCATTATCATATCCGGCTCCTCTCCATTTTGGCAACACCATTGGCAAGAGAGAACTATAGTGGCTGCATCTGACTGAGCTACAAGTTGCTATGGTAACCTCGCTATATGCTATTTTCTGTCAGTATCTCAACTATAAGCAGCTTGAAAAAGCTTAATTGGGCAGATTCTTTATCCGGGAATAGTATCCTTGAATTTGGCCGGGGTGGGGGGGGAAGAGAGGCCAAATTTGACACCTGGCTCAGTGGGTTGAGAGAATTCAAAGCCGATGAGTGACCCCAGAATGACAGACCTTTGTAAAAACGAATGTCACAAGACACCTCACTTTTTTAAAAAACAAACAAACCACTACATGTATATTAAGGGGATTATTAAAATATTTTTAATGAAGAGAGGAGGAGGAGGAGGCTGGGAAAGCTACCTGCTTACGTACAAAGGCTTCTTTAAACCCCTTTCCTAATCGCCTCCCTCATTCATTGCATATTCATCCCCCCCCCCATGGTTCTCATTATCATATCCGGCTCCTCTCCATTTTGGCAGCACCATTGGCAAGAGAGAACTATAGTGGCTGCATCTGACTGAGCGACAAGTTGCTATGGTAACCTCGCTATATGCTATTTTCTGTCAGTATCTCAACTATAAGCAGCTTGAAAAAGCTTAATTGGGCAGATTCTTTATCCGGGAATAGTATCCTTGAATTTGGCCGGGGTGGGGGGGGAAGAGAGGCCAAATTTGACACCTGGCTCAGTGGGTTGAGAGAATTCAAAGCCGATGAGTGACCCCAGAATGACAGACCTTTGTAAAAACTAATGTCACAAGACACCTCACTTTTTACAAAAAAAAAACCCCAACCACTACATGTATATTAGGGGGATTATTAAAAATATGTTTTAATGAAGAGAGGAGGAGGAAAGCGCTCTCTGAATTTGCACAAAAGGAGCGTGGATATGTCGTTTTCTGGCACTAGTCCCAACAATTCAATCTGAATTGTTCAAATATCCACGAGGAATCATTTCCACGGCCCAGTCATTTGCTAGGACAGCTGTCGGCCTGATAGACTGTAGCCTTCACCCAAATACTCCATGTTAGCTCTCCGTCCGGCTCTGCCATTAATGTTTCCTGTTCCACCCCAGCCTACCAACCTTTGTTAGTAGAGAATTAACAATATCAGCACTAGAAAAAGTATGGGATAAGGGGGAAATGAAGCAAAGTATGTCCTGAAAATGCAAACTTTGCTGTGCACATTCATGTCCTTAAGACAATGATGCTCTCTAATGAGGAACCAAGAACCTGGTGGGGGAGCACATTTCCTTTCTATAGCACAGTCTTGATGCTCAGATATAGGCCTTTTCCAGATTGCCCTAATGTTCCATTTTCATTCCCCTGTGTCACCAGGTTTTTCTTTCTTGTGTCCAGACAACTTCGTTAATATCCCCATGCTGTCCCAGTTTTTACTTATCCCCCCAACGTTCTTTCCTAAACTAGTGTTTCCCATAATATCCCCCCCATTGTGGAATGAATTCGCAAAATAGCCTCGTGCTCAGAATCTTTCTTTCCGCCTTGTGGATTGCTGCCAAAGCTGCCCAAAAATGGTGGGTTTGGGCAGTGAGCGTTTTTGCATGCCAACGTTTCAGCGTTTCAGTGCTGGAGGGTGCCTGAGTGGAAACAAATGATCAGTCCCATTGGGAGGCCCGACACCAGCAGCCGGTCATTGCCTTCCTCACCATTCTTTCATTCACACTCAAAAGCAAATTCTCGCATGTTGCCGGGTGCCATTTTCAAATACATTTTGCAGTGTTTGTAGCTACCCTAAAAACATGCAATCGAAGCGTTCTGTACTGAGCTCAAATTGTACCTGAGAACTGACCTAGCTTGAACACCTAGACAACTAGGATCCTGAAGGGAACCTATTGAATGGGAGTTATCCTGTAAATAGCCTATCACTGGGAGTGGGTCCTGCTAGAGTGTCTTAGAGTTAGCTGAATTCACTAAATAAATATGAGCTGATCACTAAACGCGTCTAGAACCCAGTATATTTCACAAAGGAAACAAGCTGTTATGAGCCGTGTGCCTGATGCAAGTCAGGTAATGGAATTCCAAATGTTGGGTGGCAGACAATGAGAGAGAATGCTCAAAAGTGGGAA